ACGCCGTCGCGTAACCGGCACGTCCGGACCGGTCCGCCCGGAGTGTGAAAAAAACGCGCGCGCGCCGTAGCGAAGCAAACACCGTCCCCGGCACGGCGGGGACGGCACAGGGGTTACGGCGGCCACGGGAGTTACCTCGGAATCTCGGTATCCGTATGTTCGCGCGCACGCGATTCGCCGTGCGACGTTCGTTCGCGCGACAACGACGACTCTGGGAAGGTTGGCGCGTCCGGCGCGTTCCGACGGCGCCGGTGCTGTCGCGCGCGTACCTGCGCCGCGCGACGAGCGACCGGCCGCGCGGCGGACGGACCGGAACGCGGGTCGCCGTACGCGCGCGCGGCGCGGCCCGGTACGCGCCCGGCAGACCGGGGGCACGGGCGCATTGTTCGTTCCGTTCGGCAGTTGACCGCTCCGTCGTTGTTGATAAAATATCGCGTATAATATTATAATATTATCATTATTATTATTATCATTATTATTATCATTATTATTATTGTATACCGGTCGATAAAAATAATCTGCATAAACATTAATCCGCTCCTCGTTTCGGAGTACGGTACGCGCGCGCGGTCCCTCGGGTCCGGAGAGGCGTGCTCGGGAATTTTCAATTCGTGAAGGGACCTCCTCCTCCGCGAATTTCGTTTATATTATTATTATTACGATACCCGCGGCCCGGAGGACGCGCCCGCGCATACAACGCGTTTAAATAAAAATAAAAAAAAAAAAATAATACGCATTCGCTATAACATAACGATAACGAAAGCAAATATAAATATTATTGGTTTTTTTTTTTTTTTTTAATATCGAAGTATCGCACTGTCGGTAAACACACGCACGCGTACACGCCTTCTTGCGATGTATTATTAATACCGCACAACATAGGTATACGGTTTTAATTAATATTGTATTTTTTTTTTTTATTTTTCCTTTCGTACACAAATAATACACCGTCGGTTATAATTAAATAGAATAAAATACAAAAAAAAAAAAAAAATCATTAAAATATCCGTTAGCTAAGGGGGAAATTGTTTTTTTTTTTTTTTTTTTTTTTTTTTTTTATGTTTTTCTCCGTCCGACCACTCCCGGACCGCGTGCATAATAATGCACCGAAAACTATATACGTATACAACATTATGTACGCTCGTTATTTATAAGTGTATAATATTATTATAATGCATACGTGTGGCCCCGTGCGAGGGGTAGCGGCGGGGGAAACTTTACGATCTCTCCGCACGCCGCCCTTCCTCCCCAACCCGCTACCCCGTCGCCCCCCCCTCCCCCCCACAACTACACGTCCGGACGTACGGCCGACAAACTCCGTTTCGCACGTTCCCGGCCGAATGAAACCGCGGATACGCACTCGTATACATTACCGAGTCTATGTAGCGTTATTTACAGGTGCGCGGGATTCCACAACTTCGCGAAACTTACACGTTTAACTCGACATTCCGTCGCAGTTGCGTGAAATAATGTTTATGATTTAGATAAACGGAAAAAAAAGCTGTGCCGGGATAACGGGGCCGGGCGCGGCCACTGTTATAGGTGATTTAGCGTACATCTGTTAGCGACAATTGTAACCATCGATAACGAAAAAACGGTACTGAGAGGGAGTTCGGACGATGGTGTTCCTTTGTCGACAATATACATAATAATGTGTCGTACATTATGGTAAAATGTTTACACGTGCCTTTTAATATTTTCTCGATTTATGCCGTCTGTGGAAAAACTCCTGGGACAATCAAAAAAATAATAATAATAACGGAAAATAGCATAAATATAAAATTGTAGAGCCGCTTGTTTCCTAAATGTTCTAGAAAACAAATTCCGAAAAAAGTCAATACTTTCCGAGATAATGAGTGAACCCACCTGATAATGTATAAAATAAAAACTCAAAATGTCTTCGGCCAACGACAATTAGTTTTATTCGTGGCAAGCCCACTCATTTTCGTGCTGTTCATTAATCGTGTACTTTTTTCAAAAAAAAAAAAAACACGTTATGTACTAATTCATAAATAAAAATAAACAAATAACATTATTGAATTGAGCGAAAGTTATACTAAACTCATAGCAGACGCCCTGTGGTTATGAAACAGCTCATCGCGTCGCATGCTGCGGGATACCTCGTCCGAGGGACTCATTTTGAAAACCGACGCGAATAATATTGAATTACGACGACACGACGACGACAGCGTGGCGGTTTCTATATAATATAATATTATACCAGAGAGAAAATAGAGTGGCGGACTTGTGCATCAGACACGTACGCCGGCGCGATTATTATTTGCGGAGTAGACGTATAGATAGTACGTTATAATATTATAATATAATTTAGTGTTCAATATTTAATATACCTGCGTAGTCACATTCAGTTCTAAATAATATTTATAATCATAGTTTGTGTAGAACCATGTCCCCCCTCCCATTCCCCTTATAAATCGTGCTTTTAAAAGGTCACTGTTTTAACGTTACACCGCACAGGTAAACCGTAAGTTTTATTTAACGGACTAAATGAGCGTGACTGTATATATAACGAACAGTAGGCACAAATCAGAGAAATCCGGTTTATTTTCATGTAATCTCATTTTTTCAAATTACGTTTTAAAAACCATATCAGAAAGACGGTGGCTTTCAGCAGCAATACCGCAGTGTAAAAGGCGATTTCTGGAGTTATGTGCAGTATGATTTTCGGTCTTGTAGCCGCAATGTTTCCAGTAATATTATCGTTCCTTCAGATCTACCACGGTGACGTTTAAAAACTTTAAACTCGAGGTAGTACCGAAGAACAACAGAACTACACAAGTCCAAAATCAGGCGATAGCGAAATTTCGAAGTTTAGACGAAAACGACCTTTTTGTGCCGATCCCCGAACGGCCGTTTTCGTAATGCGTTTGAATGACGGAATCTTGATGAAAAACGATCCAAAACATGATAACGTCTGAAAACTATACAAACATGCGTACAAAACATGATCACTCCCAACTTTATGTCACCGTACAAGCCCGAACAGTGACCACTTCAAAGTCGACAGCCGGCTCAATCACATCCTGTATAATATTTTATAATATAATTATAATAATTGATAATAGGATATCGTAGCCAGATGTGCGGTCTGCGTCTTACTGACCTAACCTTCCCCTTAGTTTTGGTTAAAGTAAAAATTCCTATTAAAAAAATTAAAAGAAACCAAATACCTTCAAATGAATGGACATGCGTTTTGTTTTCCGTTACTATGAATATACATCGTTTTTGAATAAAGACTATTTCATATATTTGTCCCAATGACTATAACTTTGCAGAAAACATTTTTTTTTTTTTTTTGCTTTAAAAACACATCGGCTTCGACTCTGAAATGTTGGTTTCTTTTTTTTAATATCTCAAGTAAAATTTAGTGATTAGGTGATTGATACCTAATTATTAGGATGAAGACGAAAGAGAATAAGAACAGGTGAATAGAAGAATGTTACTATTCAACCAAAATCAAGCGACTCCAATTCAGTCAGCGTATGGATGTCTTTCGGCTATAGCGTACCTTAGCATACCGGGCACAGCCCATGCGGGTATGACATCCTCTTAAGGAAATTAACTTTTATGTGCTTATATGAGTTTTAATTTAAAAATTCCGATTACGCCGTTGTAGATCAAACTCGTAGCTGGAGCTGAACTTGGTTCATCGCGACAAGGGTGCATCTCAGAAAAGAGCGCGAAATTCAGAAGTTATAATTCCATATATAAACATAAAATGTGTACAAAAACGAATACGAAAATGGGAGTTAATATAAGCGGGTATTTTTTTTACGGCCGGTAATAAGCCTTGATGCGGCTTTCGATGGTAATATCATCGAGATAATAATATGTTAGATCGCGGCCCAGCATCGCTCTGCGCTACATACAGGAAGATTATCGTTCCGCAAAACCCGCAGCGATTGTACGAACATTTCGAGTGCAATTGTTTCGGTTTTGTTTTGATGTCTCTAAATGACATCTATCTTTTAACGACGTTAATTGCACCATGGTAATTCCCTACCCAATAATGTTCAAATACAATTTATCGTCAATATTAAAGTAGACGCGTACACTGAGTCTCCAAACACGGCACCGTCTTACCGTTTTCTTAATTAGTACCCGGAAAACTGAATGCGAAATTAAAATCTCCGCACGCGCGTTTAGTATACGAATGCGCGGACAGCCGTAGGTTCGCGACGAAATATAACCACTCTGTACAGTGCACGTCCACTCGCGGGTCGGCGGTACGACAATTTGACGTCCATTCATAATAATATTATGATCGATCAGACACCCCCGAGATTAATGTTTCCCCACGTGCAACCCGTGCAGTAATATATAAAACACGCGCACGGGTACGCCACGTTCGCGTTGTATTATGTCACTGCCGCGCGAACGGCCAAGACGAAATTGTATTATCATTATTATTGTTTATTTATTCATTTTTTTTTTTTTTTTTTGAAATACTTACGCCGCATATCGTACTAATATTATTATTATTGTATCCTCTGGAATCCCGATACCTGCCACGCCGTCGCCGAACGGTACGGTATAATAATAGTATTACAGTTAGGCGGACACGGGGCGAGGGGAGTACGGTGGTGCCTGTCCAGTGCTCGAGTCGGAAAAATAAAAGAACTGGGACCGTCGCAACGTATATGGAATGCAATTTTATCCGGGGAAAAGAGCGGGCTATAGCCCCTCATGTCCATTCCTTCGTGCCGATTTTCAAACGTAAAACACGATTCGGAAATGCTCAAATTCTAAAAAAACACAACCGAGTCGTAAAACATCCGCTGACATCTTTCTAACGTAGCGAATCGCAATTAAAGTGCATTGTACGCGCGTCCGGATAAAACGATGACTGTTCTCACGATGATCAGTGTTTTATAGAGATGAATTTTAATATATCTATGTAAAGATTAGGGATAATGCGGTACAATCGTCATTTCTATTATTGCCTATTGCAATGATAAAATACACCAAAATAACATAAACGAACGATTTGGGAGGCACTCCTCAGGATTGCGAAAGAATAGAATGTGGCGATAGAAAGCGATAAGCCGAAACGGGGCCCGCTATGTACCGCGTAGAATAATTATTTCCCGGGATATTATCATAAAGATAAAACTTTTAAACTATAGATAAAACAGACATAGCGTTGTTCATAGCCTATCGTAAAATTTAAAACAAACGTAACGGTGATCCTGCAGATTTCGTACGCGTCTATGGATTTGAAAAAAGCCGGGCGGTTGATTACGCGACTTAACGATTAACTTATTAAACTATGTCCGTTTAACTTCGATGTTTACCACCGATTATAACTGATAAACTGAACCGATTACGATTTAAAACGATTCGTATGTATCTGGACCAGCGTTTCTCAAAGTGCGGGTAGCGACCCACTGGTAAGTCCCAAGTATATTTTTGACGGGCCGCGAAAATCGTTTTGAATGGTATAGGTTCCAAAAGAAATGTACATTTTCATATTCTGAGTGGAGCGAGGAACGTATTAGTTTTACAATGATGTTTATTTTTTTACTATTATTTTCGTTTCTGTGAACAACTTTTCAAGCGCACACTACGCCATACACATCATTATGAAAAATACATTTGTAAATTTATATTAGCTATAAATTTATGAAGTAATAAACAAAATATGTTGTCTATAACTACTTTTTGACCATGTTGGTCACGATAGATTTTCCGGGGAAAATTTGGGTTGTGGTCCCAAAAATATTGAGAACCACCGATCCAGACGGTTGATGTTATTCGTGTCAGATAACTTTATTCTCGTTTGTCCAGACGAAACGGTAAAACACATGCGCAACACTGCAGACGCCGCGCAATGTGGGGACGTTTTGTTTTGTTTTTTTTTCATTATTATTTCCTACAAGCCTACACACGTCCTCGAACGCGAAAAACCTCGGCGATAAATTGAATAATACGTGTGCACGCGCGCGCAACAAAACCTGTACACCCGTAACTATTGTTTCGTTAAATGGTCCCTGCAACTATAGGTACACGTTGCACTGCAGTTAGGGTCGCCGGTATTTACCGAAAGCCGTAAATACTAAAAAAAATATTGACCAATTACGATTTATAATAGTAATATATAAAAAAAAAAAAAAACTTTTTTCGACCTTTCTAATTAAATATTATTAATTTCGTACCTGCGTTACACTATTGCAGCACGACTGCACCGCCGACTCGCTATATACCGTCAAATAAAACAAAATATAACTATAAAAAAAAAAAATTAGTTTGCGGAAATTCAGGTAGGTGTCTAACTAAAACCAAATACCCCCGAGGGTATCACAGAATGCGTTTTATTATACGTGACTTAAATAGCAAATTACTATATTGTTATCGCGCATTATATATTTTTTTTAAAAAAACTTTTTAAAAAAAAAAAACCAAAACGTCGAGTGATCGATCACGGCTGGCGGTTTCCATTAATCGATAAGTAGGTATATAATCGGAGGTAAAAAAATAACAATAAATAAAAATAAAAATAAAAACTCCGCAGGTATAGCTCCGCAATAAATCTATGTCAAAACGTACGAACGTTTTCATAAAAACGTTTAGACATTTTAAATGAAATTAATGTAATTTCAAATTTTCGTCAGATTCGATAGAATGCGGCCCGAGGGAAAAGAATGATACGTTTGTGTTTACGATGTTTTCCCGAGTGCTTTAATCGAAATTTGAATTTCACTTTTCTCCATAATAATATAATTTTGTCAGTAGAAAAATCTTAATGTACAACTTCAATCACAATATTGTTATAATTATCTGTATCCGTACTAATTATTCTGTTCGCTGAAAAAAAAAAAAAACAGTTTTATTATTTCGGTTTTTTTAACTTTTCAGTATTCTGTTTTCAGATGAAAATCCGAATATTAAAAGAGAAAAACCTATTTTATTTGCATTTTAACTAAAACGAAATTGTGTATATTTTAACGATTGGTTTCATTTTGATTTCGTTGGATATACAATATTATATAGTCACAATAAATGGTTTTTTTTCTATTTAAAAATCGATTACAATTTACTTATTGTTTCAGCGTATATATTAAAAAAAAAAAAAAAAAAAAAAACTTTGTATTACTATGGGTTTAGTTTTTTTTTTTGTCCGGCTCTAGTCGTTTTTAACGTGATTGAAAATATTATTATTGTGACTGAAATGCGCAAACAATAATATATAATAATAATGAAAAACTAAAATGGATATTTATTTCGTCCAACTATACTTACTTTTGGATTCTGAGAAAAACGAGGAATGCATTGGTTTTACAATGATGTTTACTATTATTTTACTATACAAAATTTCTCCTACAAATCGTGCTCCATCATTAAAGATCTTATTCGTTGCATTTTGGCTCTAGTTTAAAGGTACTTTAAAAAAAATCGGTTATTGAAATTCTCATTAATATCGGCGACATTTTTCATTTGTTCTTTGTCATTATTGAGTTTTTATCATTTCAATCTTTCTTAAACAATCGTTGTTGCCACAAACACGCACATTGTTGAGAAAGCAATACTATCGACCGAGCTCCGCTCGGAATCGTTTTCCATTAGCAATGCTCATTGCGTACAGATACAAATTAAATCCTCCACTCTACGTATCCTACCGTCCAAAGTTATTGCCTACAACAGTGGCCCAACCTCGGTACGAAGGTATGTCCATCCGTTATTGTTATTATTATTATTTTTTTTTTTATCAAATATTCGTATGGCCGATACCTACTTATACGTAGTTACATGCAATAATTAATAGGTACCGTGAACACTGTTCTTTGACACGCACACACCGCTCGATATTTCTTTAGTTCGTCTATTTTCGTAATTATCTTGCATTGTTGTTGGCCAACGTTGTCATCGCCCGTAGTACGGCGGAGGACTACGAGTCGCGGCACAAGCCGGACGTGCGGAAAACGCTGCGCACACTGGGCGAAAACGTAACGCGCGATGTGATGATACCTGTATTTATTTTGCGCAGTTTATTACCAACGCGACCGGTATAATTTACGTCCATTTCGGAAAACAGGGTAAATTTTTTATTCGATGGAACTAAAATACACGCATATGAATATAAAATACACATTGTTAATAACACGAGTGTATACATAAAATAAATTTATTATACGATGACGGAACATTAATTTCACGAAATTCACTTAATACAGTATTTACTGTATTGGGTAAAAAATACCCGGTTTAAATGACATCAGGCTTCTAAAACCGTATACAATGAGTACATAGTCACTCGATTTTATGTACGGTTAAAAAAATGTACAGGGTAAAAAAAAATACGGATACAATTCACATTCGAGATCGCATTTCTAGATACAGCTAGTGTGCGTGATAAACTCAACAGAGCATAATATACGGCATTATACATTTTAAGGGATGCGCTAGTTTTTTCCTGGGCGATAAGAAACATAACCGCACAAAAAAAAAGTATCAATCGCAGTTTAAATTTGAATTTAGTGGCGGTACAATATCGATGCCAACGAATTGACGTCCTTGGATACTGGTGTGTTCAAAATTAATTTGCAGACGAAACGTACTACGTTTACGTACTTCAAAGTGTAAAGTATTATTAAAGATCGTAATATTTCATTGGACTTGTTGGGTCGGACCAGTCATCGCAATTATGTTCAACGACAAATTTGAGCCCTGAGAGTGACAACAATAAATCTCAAACTAATACGATTTTTCAGGAGGCACTTAAAACTTTCCGGAGACATCTTGTTGTTGCACTCAAATAAAAATCGAATGTGTCTCATTTAATTTCTCTCAGATCTTCATATTGGGCCCGCATTAACAATGTTGTATTTAATTACAGACACGTACTGACCCGCCGGAACACCGGAAATTTCGCGGCAGGTGCTTCTCGTCTAGGCCCTTGATTTATACGCGTTCTCCTACTTCCATTTCCTTAAATAACCCATTGTAACTCGGCGATTTCTCAGGTAGATAGCTGAGTAGGTAAGTAGGTTGGAACAGCGAATAACGTTTATGATTTATGTTTACAAGCGGGTCCTGTTTAATCATTTCCCGGTACACAAAATAGAACTCGGTACGCGCATGCCTCGGTACTTATGTTTATGTACTCGTTTATTGTTAAACGATTCGGAGCTGAATTTAGAAATTCAATTCATAATTGTTGTCGTTGTAAATCCCCATACGCGGTGTGCATCCATTTGAAAACGAGTCACTGTAGGTACCGAACACAGATTCCGAACTGTCGGGCCGTTTGAGGTTACGTTTCTTATCGCAGGGGGAAAATGTGATATCCGCGTACATTGCGTTTAATATTATAATGTTACATGAAAAGGGCGTGCGTGGTTTTGCGTTCGGAAAGAAAACGTTCGAAAATAATATTACGCTATATTTCGTTCGCGAAGTTTATGTGTTCGGAAATGTTTTTATATATTTTCTGATCCGCCCAATGGCCGCTCGGTATATACCTACCTATTATTTGTAACCATATGCGTTTGACGTGTTGTACAAACACATCTCTTATCGTACTGCAGGTAATAACAATAAATCACTGAAAATATAAGATAATATTGTATTATGTAATAGTATCGATTCAAAGGCTTACACACGAGCGAGACGGTACCTATGCACGCACCGCGTAGGATATTACGCGCATTGGATTCACCCCCCCCCCGATACCCGGTGTTCCGATATTAGCGAACGATATAAAACCCGCACGCGATACGATATAATATTATAAAGTCGATAATCGTGTATTGATATTTGAATTAACCGATATATCTTTTTGAAAACGGGATTATTTTTTTTTTTTCTAAACGATTTCTTAACGTCCCAGCGAATTTATTGAGATCTTTTCTCCGAAAACATCGGGTCAAATATCAGTTTCGAAAAAGCTATAGAATTACAAGCGAGGGAGTCGACGGAAATGGAAATCGTCATTTCGGGTACCTATCGGTGACATTTTGAAGAAGAAAAAAAATATTGTCGCGAGCCGGTAATGTACAAGAAACACAATATAAAATTGTGGCGTATTAGGAAATTTTTGCAGGGAACGGTCGGCAACAGTAAATTTTGTGAGTGATTCCTTATCATTTGTTTGCCGACTGTGCGAATATTCCGTTTAGAGATAAGTTCATAACATAATATACGGCTGTTTAGTATGGTTCAAATAATTGTTAGTGTAACTTTATACTTTCGGGCAGTTAAGCGAAACTCCGAGCAGGACAAGTGAACAGTATGTTAAGTGTTTGTAACCGAAAACAATCTAGATAAATAAAATCGATTAAGAATCGATCAGATGTGTAAAGGGAAGAGAAATAGAAAACTTAATGATTATGAAAGTGCCTTTAACGTTTTTGAATGTTTTATAGCTTGCAATTGGAGTTCTCTGATTTATAATAGACTTGAGATCACAAATATCGAGAATATTATCAATAGTATTATTATACATTTTTTTGAGTGAATTTAAAAAGGATATATTGCTTTTAAAATGACGTTTGTTTCTTTTTCAATGAGCAACTTTCTCACCAGAAATCTCGTTCCGGTTTTCAAGTGTAGCACTCAGTCTGTAAGTAAACATGACTGGGTTGGTTGGTTAGTTGATATTCCCAAGAGTTCTCATAACGATTGGGAAAAGCCGGGAAACAGCGAAGGAAAAACGGGAAAACGCGCGTACATGTGAAAAATTTACTACGCTCCGGATCGTTTTTTCGTTAGCGAAGGTTTATACCGTTGTGTACAGATGATATTTTTCTCTATATCCTACTTTCCCGACTTCTCACCTACAACAGTGACCCGCCCCGTCGTGCGGATACGTGCGAATTTTTTTTTCTCGTCTATTGACAATTTCACGAACGAGAAATATTTTGTTTTGTTTTTTACAGGAGTGACGCGGGCGTTGTCTTACCGATCAGCAGCGGCGGCGGCGGCGACGGCCACGGCGACGGTCCGGTCCATGGGACGCGCATGAGGGGCGACGGCCCCGAGCGTTGTTAACGGTATCGTCGTCGTCGCGGTCGTCGTCGGCGGTGGCAGCGGTGGTGACGGCCGCCATGGTGCCGCCGTGGTGGCTGCTCGTGGCGTTCGTGTTCGGCGGCGTGAGCGCCGCGTTAACGTCCAGCCGGGTGGTGCGCACCAAGTACGGCGACGTGAGCGGCGTGATCGTGACGCCCGACAACCGGCGGTTGGACGCGGTCGAGGTGTTTCGCGGCGTGCCGTACGCCTCGCCGCCCGTCGGCTCGCTCCGGTTCATGCCGCCGGTCACCGGGTCGCTGTGGTCGGGCGTCAAGGTGGCCGACCGGTTCGGCCCGGTGTGCCCGCAACGGCTGCCGAACGTGTCCGACGAGACGGCCGCGCTGAAGACGATGGCACGCGGCCGCATGCAGTACCTGCGCCGCCTGTTGCCGTACCTGCAGAACCAGAGCGAAGACTGCCTGTACCTGAACGTCTACGCCCCGGCACAAGGTTAGTCGCGAGTCGCAATTATTCTTGTCCGACTTTTATTTCGGTATTCCTCGTTTTACGAGACAACAATACGGTTGTCGGCCGAATCCGTAAACGGCCCCAAAAGAAGTTTTCAACCTGCGTTGGGTGTGGCCAATAAATCGGCATTCATAAAAGGCTCTTTGAGATTTTCTCAAAGTCGAAAGCGAGAAACAGTTAAGGTGCCTCTTGAGGTCACTTGGACGTTCGCTCGGATTTAATTTGCAATTTGATATTTCACACGTCGCGAAACGTGTGAAATCATTATGCTATTTAATTATCGCCCATTGCGTGTGCCCAAACGGTATAACACTATGTACACGGGACGCAAACAAATTATTCGAAATCTAAAACCGCGATAAAGAAAACACAAGCGTAATTATCGCGATAAAAAAACAAAAAAAAAAACCCCGAAAAAATCTCGCAGGACAAATATTATATTTATGCGGGAAAACCGGTTCCATCGGTCGAAACAGGTTAAAAGATTAAAAATATGGTTTACGTTGGCAACGGTTTTTTTTTTTTTTATTTATTTTCCGTTATTATTAAGGTTTTATCGGTATCCGCGCGCCGGATATTTAGCCGTTGAAACGGATTGAGCGGCTTGAACGGTCGTCCCGCATACACGCGGCCACAACGGCCGCGGAGACGCGCGGACGAAACGGGCGATAGATTGTCGTCGGCGAAACGCGGCCCGACCGCCGCGGGGCGACACGCGTGCGAGGCGCGCGCGTCTACCACCGCGGTCCTGACGCGACCCGACCGCCGGTGACCGCGGGGAACGGTCGCGCGGGCCGACGGACCGGACGGGTCCGTGCGAGCGACCGGAACCGAAACCCCGCGCGGTCGGTCGGTCGGTCGGTCGGTCGGTCGGTCGGTCGGCCGTCGTCGACGACAGTGCGCGCGAGTTCCCCGGCCGTCACCGACGGCCCGTACGAAACTCCGCCTCGCCCCGCGGCGTGCCGTTCGTTTCCGGGAAACCGCGAAATACTACGCGGGCCAATTAAGTCCGGTCGCGGGGAGGGCGAACGGGGGAAAAAAAAAAAAAAATAATACGTCCCGCAAATAACGATATTATTGTCGCTGTTGCTGTTGTTGTTATTATTACGGTCGAGATTTCCGACGCCGATAACACCGGCCGCACGCATTCCGGCGTTTTAACGATAACAACGGCGGGGTTGTTTTTGTTTTTTTTTTTTTTATTAATTAGTCCGCGCAGTACGGCAGTCCGTTATTGTACGTACCTGGGTGTTTCGAAAAAATAAAAAAAAAAACCCCGACACACGTCGCCGCCGGCGCGATACGCGATTTTATCATTTCGTATTACGCGGCGAACCGCGGCATTTTGGAACGTGTTAGAAAAAAAAAAAAAACAAAACCAAAAAAATTGCCGGGTTTTATCGCGGAGGCCGGCCGTTCGTCTTTTACCGCGAACCCGAGAACGTCGTTATGGTATTGTCTACGAAGGTTTTTTTTTATCGAATTCGATTTTGGTTTTTCTTTTTTTTTCGAATTTTTCCCGTAAACGCACAGAGACAATTGCACCGCGTTAATCGTGTTCGTTATAATACACGCTTACGTTTCCCGCTACAGTCCCGGCGACCCTCTGTGCACGAAACGGGTTTCGAATTGTTTAATAAGCAAATCGGATCGATCGCGTTTCGGTTCAGTTTTACCGCGGATTTCAACACGTGGTCGTGGGAAGTGGTCATTTGTTAAGCTTTACACGGACCCCCGAACGAAAGACGGGGAACGAAATGTTGTATGTGCGCGGCGTTCGTATCGTCCATAGATTTCAACATTGTACCGTCACCCCTACCATTCACGGGCGAATTTCGGCCATTTTCAATAAAAACCGTACAATGTTTTATCACTAATACGGTCGGAATTCGATTATTTATTGTTTTGCGAAGAGTATTTTCGGAACGCAAAACGCGTGCGGGAGAATTCGACTTTGGATATCGGAGCTCCGCCGTTGGTGCTGATAGTTTTCTCAGCCGATATTGTAGAGTATACACAAATCGTTTAAGCATCGCGTTTGTCTACGATTTTAGCCGTTTGAACCCCGTTTCGGAATGCCATTTGTTCGGTATATTTACGCTATACAACAAGATTACACAGAATCACAATCATCGCCTTGTACAATACAGAAATGTATTTGCGATACCGTGCAAACCTGCGTACAGCGTACGAGAAATGCAATATTATAAAGTGTTCTACGCACTGGTGTGCTGTTGAAAAATTACGGATATACTCTCGAATATTTAAAAAACAAAAATAAATAAAAAAAAAAAAAAAAAACTCGTCATAAATCACAATATATTACTATAACTGTCCGTTGGTATAATATCGGCAATGATGCCACGAAACCCGTATTGGTATTACTGCAATATTACAGATTGTACAATCACCCACGGCGACGAAAAAATTCGTAACTCTCCGACGATTTACATTGGCTTTTATTTTAATTATTCGATAATATTTAAATTTAATTTTTGTACCGTTGATATTTAATTCTCACATAAAAGAGCGCGAGAAAAACTTAAAATTCCCCCTCTCCCCATCGCGTAAGATATTATCGTACACCCGCTAGAAATCATTGTGTCGGAACGCCGTTCTGTCTACACGCGTACACCGTGAACTGCCCACCGTGGTCGGGACGAGATTTCGAATAATTTCTAATTATCGCGTTCGTTATGACAACGGTACGGACGCGAATCGATTCGCGGTTCGGCCGTGTAGCCGATGAATAATAATAACAGTAATCATATTATCGTCGGCTCGTCGATATAAACAAAAAAAAATAATATGCTACGCGGATTTCGGGGGGCCCGACACGAATCTTTTGCTCGCGCATATCCAATACGGCTCAAAGTTTATTATTATGTTGTGTTTTTTTTTTGTGCGTACGCGCGCGCTTCGTGTACACATTTATACGTATTGAGCACACGGCACGTATATACTCGGGACGGATGTGTGTTGAATTTCGATAAACATATAAACGCGAGTATAATATTATAATAACAGTAATGTATTCCGCGCGCGCGGGTCACGTCCGACGAATCGCCTTGATCGTAAATTTCGCCCCGAACCGAATTGTTAAGCCGAGCTCATATGCCCGCTCCGTGTGTCGCGGGGACATTCGACGGGGCCTCGGAACCCGTCGACGGCCGTGGATTCATCCGAACGTTTCCCCGGTGTTATAAAGCGCGACCGGCGTAACGCGTACCGCGCTCGTTTTCCCGGGAAGCGTTAATTTTTTTTCGTAATTTGTATTTGTTTTGTTTTTTTTTTTTTTTTGAGACGTTTTAAAACGTTTTTATTTTACCGTTTTTTCTCATTTTATTTTTCATTATTACATTCACTTATTTTCGGGGTCGTGAAACCGTTGCTAACTTTCGATTTTAAATTAACGACCCATCGCCGTGATACTGTGATACATTAAACATTTAGAATTCATAATAAACGATCGAACGCGGCGCGGTAAAACAACTGTCGGATATGTTATAAGAATAGGGGAAACCGAATACATCAGTCTTTGGTTCTGAAACCACTGTATAGGATTCGAGAGTGATGATACGTGTTAGGAATGAGCGCGCGAAAAAAATGCCAAGTGGCTTCTGACGAACGAACCGAAAAAAGTAGCGCCTTCCTGCCCGTCGCTTCTCCGCTCTAGTGACTTCCACTCGATCGACACAATTGTTTTAAGTGAGGCGCCCTTGCGTGGGCGACACGCGTAGTCAATATTGTGAATTGAGGTGTGTTGCACTTAGATGCCAATTATGTTTAACTAACAGAAATTATGGTAATTGAACTATGTCGCATTCCATCGTTTATTGCGAATTCTAAATATTCAATGGATCGCACTACGTTTGAAATTCCATAAAAAAAAAAAAAAAAAAAAATAAAAATGTAGCATTCGTTTAAATAGGAGGTTCCCAAAACATATTCGCACACGTGTTTATAGTAAAAACACGCGTTTTTCACTCGATAACTCTGGTCGACATCTATTTACATCGCATTCACCTCGAATATTCGTTTTCGATTACCCTTGCGGACCAGAATAGACTCTCGGAGGTCTACGTAGATCGCTTCGGGAACCTCCGGTTCAAATACGCATTTTAGACATCCCTCTACCCTTTGACGATGTATTCCATTTTTAATTTTCGGTAGGAGAGTGTAGTCGGCCGTTATTTAAATGTCGCGCACCCGTCGCCGCGCACGCAACAGACCTAGATAAATCTTTTTGAACCGTAATAATGCAATTTTTATACGTATATATTTATTTATAACAATATGCGAAATATTTAATTTTTATTCATTTTTTTTTTTTTTTTAACAAACTAATTATCCGATAACATCAATCACACAACCTGCAAAATGGGTACGTGTACGAGTAGGAAACGTCATTACGGTTCCGGAAAAGTTCAGTTTTGTTAAAAACGGTCGGTTAATTTACGTTTATCGTTCCATTATTTTTATCCACGTTATTTCTCTACGTCAGTCCTCGGTGTTTTTAATTTTTTAGTTTATATTTTTCGTAGTTTTTAGTTTTTATTTAGATTTTTAGAGTGCAACGGACGAGTGATTCGTAATACAATAATACCCCGAATAATAATGACATTCTCTAAATTTATAGTGCAGCGTACATAAAACTCGATCAATCGGAAGGAAACATATTATAGTTTAAATGTTGCGCAGCCGCCGTAATATTTGTACCGCCAAGAATTTTAGATTCCGAGCGTAGCGATGGAGCCGTTGGTTTTACAATGCTGTTTATTTCATTTTTTTTCTTATTTCTAGTCTGTTGACGCGTTTATTCTTAGTAAACTTGCTCCGATTTTTACGATTAGCAACTTTTCTGAATGCTCAAGTTGTCCAGGTGGTACTTTAGAGAGACAGTCATTTTTTAATTGTCGACGCTTATTTTTAAATAAACGCACTTAAGTGGGAAAAAACGTAGGGAAACGTACAATTTCACGATTTT